ACTGATACAGCTGTTTTCTGGGTGCAACCGCATGTCGCTCTTAAATGTCTAGCCGATAGGAGGTCCGCATACTGACCTGGAAAATAAGAACGTGTTTTGGGAATCATACGTATGTACACTCCGATTTTAAACACTGATACCTTCTGCAAAACATTGCCCTTGTTCGATGTTCTTCCCCTTCTCCTCTTCTGACACTACGCCACGTTCAGCACTGTGAACGCCATCTATTTCAAAAAAGTATGAGTACCTGCCTGGACTCAAATAACCACTTTCTACACATCTTTAGGGCTGTAATATTTCCTAAGTGAGCAAACTTCGGAGTTATGCTAGTATTTTACAATCAAAGTTAGACGTTAACACGGAGGAGGTACTGGTTTAAATATCGGTCACACCGGCACATCGGACTTACGCGGAGTTTCTGGGCGACCTTGAGAGAGCCAGGCTGATCAATCAGTGTCTTGGTTAGCTTGTGAATCAGTTTGTACATATCAGTGATGATGCTGTCCACTTCCATAGCATCCACCTTGTCGTAGGGCGATCGAAGCCATTCCTTGCTTTTGGCGTCAAAGTCTCTTGCAGTCCGCCACAGGCGACTGTAGGGCAGCATTGCCTTCTTCATCTCCTGAATCTCTGGAAACGAGCTCTCTTCAAACTGGAGCAACTGCTCTTCCCTTTAAAGATTAGAAATATCTTCACTTTCTGAAAGACTGCAATTATAAAATTCATAGCTTTGCCAGTCCATAACAAATGCGACCAAATTTATTTAGTGATTAACCAATGTATTACTGGCAAACGTTAGGACTCTGAGATACGCGTATTTCTGGGTCATTATTACTGGCAAAAGTTAGGACTCTGAGATACGCGTATTTCTGGGTCATTACCCTTCATCGGTCAAAACGACGCTGAGATACGCGTATTTCTGGGTCATTACGCTTCATCGGTCAGAGTTACCTGACTCAATTATAGCCGCAGAAACTGCAGCTTTTTATTTAGTGATTGTTTAGATAGGGTATGACTGGTTGTTTTCATTAAAAAAAACTCACAGTCACTATTTAATAATCTGCAGCCGGCGGCGCTCACGAGAACTTCTTGAATTCATACCTTGGCAGTCAGCAGATCCCATTCCGATTATTTATTTTAATCCATCCAGCATTCAGACCTCACGCGTCAACACCTATTCCACACGGCATTAAAAGTCGGCGGTCATAACGCCTCAGACACCTTATATTCATTTCCCTTTTTGTATACAGGCAACAAATTTCGACCCACAATAGGGCTGTGACTGAATACATATACTCATTGATAGGAAGCTACCCTCCGGCTCTAACTATATGATGCTGCGGCATAGAAAACTATCTCATATCCTCGATTCGCGATAAACCACCTCAAAACAGGCTTGAGATCGTTTGTGCACCGTACCACAACCACCACTACTAACACCACCATTATTGCTACATAGAATGGGACCAAAGTTTGTGAGGAAGACAGCAGCGCACCTTATGATGGCATCAGCCTCGTCCGTGAAGCCCTGCAGCATGGCGTCGAAGGCGTCCAGCATGACATTAGCCCGATTAATCTCGTCATTAGAGAGCACTTCGCGTTTCTGCATCTGTTCGATGCTTCCACTGGAGGAGGTGATGGATTTCTCGAGGGCAATTACTCGTGCCCTCAGAGCCTCCTCAGAACTCTCCCGTAGGCCATTCAGGCGACTGTTGGCCACATCTAGCACGTCAACCACATTTTGCGGCCAGTAGAAGAGGGTTGAATTGAGCTTTATATCGTCCTCTGGAGGAGAGTGGGAAAATAAATCCATGGTTATCGATGGAAGCTTTGGAAATAGCAATGGACATCCTTATGCGAAGGAAAGACTTCTAGATTGGCGAAACACATGCATTCATCATATTCCCGATCTCAACCGACAAAGCAAGGAACCCGCGGACTAGTGCTAGAGTATTGAACTCAATGATCAAAGGTCCCAGGTTAAAATCTTGGGGGTTCAAACCCTTGAGATTGGGTATGACTGGCTGATGACGGCCAACAAGCCAGAAATGGCCATCCCGATCTCCCTTTGCTTTTTCGGATCCATTTTTATCACTTCTACAGTTATCGGAAAAAACTTGCGTCCATTGATACTGTTGCTGTGGGGGGCAAACTCCAAATACTAAAATGTCCACCTACTCGAAACAGTCAAAAGTGTTCTAAACTAGGACTTACAAACTGAAACTTTTCAAATTCAAGTACGAACTGTCAAAAAAACGTCATTTTCTGAAGTCATCATGGGTAAGACACTTTTCAACTGAAATCGTCCAATCTGCATGATAATATCGCCAGCATACAACTACGTAGAGATTAACCTGAAATTTCATGATGGTACGTACTTCAGTATCGACAATTCTTGTCGCTTCCTCTATTCCACCTCTCAGGCAACAGTGATCTTTTTATGCTGTTTAGCAACTAGTTTCGAGGGCAATGAATTCTTGTGCGATCCTTTTAATCGGTCACGCATAATTATACGACTTTCTTAACAAATGCAGGCGATGGGTCAGTGTGTAATACGGGAACGGTGAAAGGGAGTTAGGGCGCTTTAAAGGACAATAAGAGGTGGTGACGTTTGGGCAATGAAAATAAATGCATACGCCACCGTCATTATTCAAAAGAGTTAGATTTATAGCACTAAATTAGACCGTCTAACACACCTAGGTACACGCCAACCTAACTTTTACCCACTCA